TCCAGTCCCACTTTCACTCATTTCAGTTAGAAAAAGAACCGTACCTACTCACTCCTTTTTTCTCTCTCCAAACGAAACATCTTGGGAGCGTGTCCCACCTCCCAAACACATCCCACAGGGCTGCCTTCCAGGCAGCAGGTGCAGGGCCAAGCCAAGGTCCCTGCCCACACTCCGAGCTAAGGGACATGCTTAGGCACTGCCAGCGCACGTCAAGCTCACGCCCGCCTGGCTCACAGGCAAACCTGAGCTGGATGGCAGCCTCCATGGGAATCCTGGAAAAGGTGTGCACTCAGAAACCACGTCCAGCTTTTACAACCCAGTTCTCTAGCTAATAGGCAAGAGTAATGTCTCTCCAAATTATGCTTGGATTCGTTAATTATGGGACCAAGATTAACTTGTGGTCTCAAAACAACTACTGCCCAGCAATGCCTTCATTCTCTGAACAAAGGGAAAAATCCTATTAGCATGTTTATCCAAAGGCAGAAATTTCAATTTATTTAAGCATGCTTTTAATCCATTCATTAACTCATTGTAATCACAGTTTAAATGAGTGAAATTTTTCACTATTCCTGAAAGCCCTAATTTAAAGAAACAAATGCTAAGCATTTTCTTCTTTAAGGAAAGCAAATTGTAAAATACCTGTTTTATGAGAAATTTCACTCATATTTTGATGTGCTTTGGTTCTTTATGTGACTTGTGAGAAAGAAGATACTACCTTTTGTTAAAACTATAACAGCTCATAAAAGAACAGCATTTTTAAACAGTGAGGCTCTTTAAGATACCATAAATGAATTAAGCTAAACATGACCTGCCTAAGATTTTCAACCAAGAAAGGGAATCTACATTGCTACAGAATAACAATGACACTACTCCATGTGATGGCTCTCCTTGGTGTACTCACAAAGCAGTATATCACTGTTGGGGCCACATCTGCAAATACTGAATATGTACTCAGTGTTACACAGATTAAATTCCAAACCCCTCAGAAATTAAATATCACTGTGTAAAGCTCCTACAGTGCCATTTTTAGAAAGGACCACTCAGAGATTAGTGCAAGTCCAGTTTAGCAGCTGCTTATACACCCAGGTTGCCGTTACCTGATGATAGTGATGATGCAAGCTGGCAATGGAGATTTTATAGTGATTGGCAATTTGTATCAAAACTCCAGCCATTAGAGAAGTCATATTTTAGTGAAGTACTGGTAGAGAAGCCACAAAATCCAAGTGCCTCAGCTGGGATATTTTAAGAACTCTGTCTCAGGGTAGAGGTATGCTGGCAAGATACGTATGAATTTGTTTTTTTCATTGATCACAATGCCAGAATATCAAATATTATTACTGAGTCACTTGCTTAATACGTACAGAATATTAGTCTCCAGGGCCCCAATTAAAGGCCAGGTATATTCACTTAAAAACAAACTGAGAAATGAAATTTGTATTCTTGATGCTATTTAGGCATCAAGAATACAAAAAAAAGTGTGGAACAGAAAAAGAAAGTAAAAAAAAAAAGCTGAACAGCCTTAAACCTGTAAAAGAAGGCACCTCTGTGCATGCTGCCTGCTGGGAAAAGTCCTTGGCCCATCTTTTCCCTGAGCCACATAGATACAGTCCTCAGCAGAGCACAGCTGGCCAGGGCCCAAACTGCAACAGGGAGAATTTATCACCTTACCTGCCTGGCGCTCATACTGCCTCCTTGCACTGCTTAATTAATTTCTGCAGACATAGTATCTGTTTCTTTCTGAGGAGTTTAAAAGCAATTATATTGCTTTTCCATTTCTTGTATGTTTTGTTCCTTTGGCTATGCTGGGCCAGATTTACTGTGAAGCATTTGTGTGTGCATGCGGTTGATCCCCATCACAGGTGATACTTTAACAGTCCTTCCTAACAAACAACACAAGTAGTATTTCTCAGCTGTCAACATACATTTATTTATTAGATTCGTAATCTCATTGCACAGTAAATGTCTCTGTCGAGCAAGTGGCAAATCTCCAGAACTTTGGCATTAAGATTTTATTTGGAAAAGTCTCCAAAAAATGTGAATGTTCATCTACAGTGTACACAGATTATTTGAGCTCTCAGAAACTCCAAAAATAGGCTGGAAATTTTATAAGATTTTAACTTCTTATAGCATTTCCAAGCTTAGCAATGGATTCCAGCAAAGGCTGAAAATGGACTTAAAATAAAAAATCATAAAATTAATGCCTTCAGAAAAAAAAGCTAACAGAACAGTCTGTTTTGATGCTTGTTTTGTTAAAGGTGGGTTGTCTTTCAGAAATGAGAGGAAGGTTCAGGGTTCATTCATTTTCAGGTTTGTATAAACTGTTTTGATCTCTGCTGCAACCATCAGGAACTAGGACAGAAGTACAAGGGAAAAAAATTGTTTAAATGCTGCCATTTTACTGTGAACTTTTAAGATCTAGGATCTAAAAATTATTTCCTTTGCAATGCTAAAGAATTGCCTGGGCTGAGCACTCTTGCTGTGAAGGGAACTTCAATTAGAAAGGGAACCAGCACACACAGAGCAAACTATCCCTTTGTGCTTTTTAGTATTTAAGTGTTCAAAACCAAATAGATGAGAAAAAAGTTGAGAACAGGTGAAAAAGAGAAAAAAGAGTCAATATAAATTTGCCTTTTGAAGGAAAAAAGAAACAGAGAAAGCAGACATCAGTCGGGTAGTCATTCAAAATTACTTATGGATGTAAAAAGAAATCACCGTTCTGAATATCTAAACAAGAAATGATGGACTCAAAATTATTCCAAAAGGCTGTCAAAATAAACTGTCAAACTTTTTAGATTGCTACTGAATAGACTGAACCAAAGAAAGAGCTAGTCATCATTAAATAATTTAAAATGGTACTTGGAAATATTTTGTTTTTAGAGAAGATTTTTGTGAGGTGAATAATGCCTTTTTTTGGAAGACAGGAGGAGACAGACAAGATAGCCTTTTTTGATCAATGGTGGATGATTATCACAGCACAGATTTAAAGTTGTGAAGTCTATACCAGGAATCACCTCTTTTCTTCCTTCAGAACATTCACATGAAAATGTCCATGTTTCTTTCCCTTTTACCTGCCGGCCCAAAACTTGTTTCAAAACGCTTAATGGGAAGTTAGGGTGGGTGTCTGTTTTTTCAGGGGTACAGACAAACACTTCCAAAAAGATTGGTTTTCATTACTACATGGAATTAAAGTAAATTCTGAAACCTTGAAAGTTGCTCTCTAATGAAACATCACTTTTTGGTTAGCCCTACTAAAACAATCCTCTGCTTTTTGATCAAACATCACCTGCAACAACAAATTTTACCACTCAAAAGCAACTGACTCAAAAAGTCTTAATCAGAGCATTTCTTTGGCTCTATCAGAATGTTTGATATAACTATCAGAACTAGACTTAGCAATGCTAAAACTAAAACAGCAGCTAGGCCAATGAGTCATCTTCTTCTTTAAAACTTGTTTTTACAGCTTGAAAAATTTCTGATGATCAGAGACATAAGTAGGAATAAAGACACTGGTCACTTCAAAATTTAAGACTGCTTTACTGAATAAGAAATACCATGAAAATGTAAAATTAAAAGAGTACTCGTCTCTTGCTTATACTGACTAAGTGCATTATTGGCAAATATCTGTCAATTCCCAATCAAAGGAAAAAACACTTGATTAAGAGAACATGATGTGTACCTGCTATCAGCAATATTTAAGGTGCCTAAAGTGTCTAATTCCAATTCTACAATTCTACTGCATGCATTAATAAATAAACAGCAAATGAGTACTTCTTTAAATTGCAGCTATTGACTGCAGAAAAATTTGACAGTATCAATGAGGAAACCTTCAGTAAAGCAATTCTCATCTTAACGAAGAAAATTTCTTGCAGACTACTTTTTCAATACGGTATAAAAAAACAATAAAGAAAAACACTCAAAACTAATTTCCATAAAGCTCTAATGTACAAAATGAACAAATATCAAGTGCATAATAATTGTCTCTGTAGTTCGTTCATGAGTGTAACAAAAGCTTTGGCTCAGGTAGCTCCATTATGTTAACCTTGCTCACCACAGTAAATAGATCCATCACGTAGTACAATGGTTTACTATGAAAGGCCTGAAGAATGAGGATACTGTTTCATCCAGGCAGGAGATGAGACAGAATGTCTCTTTGAAGCACTCTTGATGCTTCAGAGGTTTGCAGGAGCTAATGGAGAGAGATGATGTAGAAAATTGCCTCCTACAGGCTGAATTGGTGTGGTCCCTGGGGTTTTCTTCCTCCCACCCCCTACCTGCACTCCCTGCCACTCTCTTGAGGACAGAGGAAAAAGTAAATCTTTATGACCACAGCTATTCTTACATTTTAGAAAGATCACTGTGTTGGGAATCTCCCTACACTTCTGTAAGGAACTGCATTGTCTAGCACCATGCTGCTCTAAAAGTTAAAAGACTTAACTGCAAACATTTTGTTGGGCTGCATGTCACTGAAATTCTCTAAACAGAGATCAGAAGTAAAGGAGTGGATGACACAGGCAGGAATGGCCTGTGAGGGCTCTATGCATATGCATTTTTTTGGTTTTCGCTTTTTCTCACTCAACTCACCCTACCATCACCACCCTTGCCACACTACGTGATTGCAGTTAGGAAATACAAGGCTTAAATTGACCATCTCAAATGCAAATACCAAATTGTACTAGACAGGAAACCTTGCAAGGTAACTGTTGTAAGAGTTTCTCTGAACCTGCCAGTGATATGGTCCTTCTGAACAAGGACCTGGCCATGCAAGTTCCTTAATAGTGACTTTTTGAAAAATAAGAGGGTTTGGGAGTCACAATTTTGATGAAGGCTCAAGATTAATTTATCTTTAGATAGAATATTGTTATAGAAATAACAGATTTCAACCCACTTGCTTTTAGAAAACTCTTCAGGCCCAGCAGTCCTGGTTTTCAATTCACAGATATTTCAAACACTATTTTAGGGTCTATTATTTTTCATTATGCAAGGGAAACTGATTTTCTTACCTTTGCAGTTGCCTCGGTAGGCTATTTCCAGCTGAGGGTCTTTGCATTTTGCTCGTTGAAACTCACACCGGGACAGAAAAGTTCTTCCATCAGATGCACAGAGTGATTTCTGAGGGGAACCTGCACAGTCCAAGCTGCATTCTCTGTCTTTGTCTTGGTCCACTCTTAAAAACTAGGAAAAAACAGAAATTAATGCTGTAGGAATACTATTCCCATGTGAAAACTGCTCTGTGGTCCCCTTCCCCATCAAAGACATACAAATCACCCAAAACTCAAAAGAAAGTTCTGCCTTTTTGGGTATTCAGATCCTAGCTGATTCATTATATCTGGGGTTTTTCCACTGCTGCTGTGAAATGGCAGTGACTGCAACATCCCCAAAACATACACTAAATCCAGTATCACAATTAGGGAGTCTCTGAATCTCTTTCAACCATTATGAACCTCAAAACAGTAACTTGGAGTTTTTGGAGTGAAAATGGTGATTGCAGAAACATTCTTCACAACAAAAATGAGACAGGAATGGAAGCTTGTCTGTTTTATTAGATATGTATTTATTATTCCACAATGACAAGCTGAAAAGTCTGTTCTAAGACCCAAGTAGGATTTTTAACATAAATATTCTCATTGTGGATTTCAATGCACCTCTTTCTAGTTTTAACACAAAGTACACTGAACCCGACCTAAATGTTCATCCCTCCAATGCCAAGACAGGAAGGCTGATGAGTTTGGCATCATCCTTGGCACTGTGAAAAGAAGGAGTTTCTCACCCTGAAACACGCTGCCAAAAATAAAACCCTAATCAGATCTGATGATGCTACAGGCCAGCCAAAAACAAAGACAGATAAAAACAAAGGTATTACTTTATCTTCTGAGCTCTTGAAAAGCTGGGACTAGGGAGAAGATGTACACAGTAAGTGCTCAGATGAATTTCTCTCTTTCTTCTTCTTCTGAACAAGCACAGAATTAAGCAAGGCATACAGCTACCAGGAGGTAATCATTGTCCTAAGCATCCTGAGATGCCCAAGAAAAGATCTGCATCCAGCTAAAGTCCTGTTTTCATTGGTGCTACTTCATCATTATAAACATCAGGTAGAGAAAATTTTGAACTTCAAATGAGAAACTGAAATTATGAGGAGGAAAATTTCAAGGGAAAAAAAAAAAAAAGAAAGCACCAAGAGTACTATCTGGGATTAAAAATTTAAAAAAAATTTGCTATGTATAGCTCCCCTGCACTTTATTACACATAAGAAATATATAAAGAGAGTTATAAATCTCCATAATCTTCCACTTAAAACTGTGGTCTATTTCTATTTCCTATCATTTAATGTGAGGAAATACAGATGTCTTTCTGGAGAGTCTGCATGAAAATGGAGAGATTATCTCAAAGGTATCACTTTAAAATAATAGTCATATGGTTGGACTCTTACCAGAATTTTTATATTTTAGTGGCATACTAAGATAAAAAGGAAAGCTTCCTTTTCCCAACATTTTTGAGCAATTTTTCACTTTCAGGAATAATTAACTTCAGAAGCAAATTACTCACAAATTACACACAAACCCCAAATCTTTCTCCAAGGAATCTAGCCACAGAGTTCCAGAAGTGGAGGACAGATATTCCTTGCTCCCCATGCCAGGGTTATTTTGCAGCTCTTTGCTGACAGAAATTAATAATTAGGTGAGCTGAGTGGGAAGGGAGAAAAACTGAAGCAACCTCCCTTTACCTGCACAATGAGTAACAGTGAAGACAGGCATCCATGGCTCTGAACAACCCCCAAACCACGTTGGCTTGCCTGGGTGCTCTGATGAGCTGCACTGTAGGAGCCCTGTGAGGTTGTCCTAGCTTCCCTCACTTGCCTGGGAGGCATCTGCCTGACTCTTGAGGTTAGGCCTACCTAGGACTGTGAAAAGGATTTCTCAATGAAGAATGGACTCCATGGGGCCCCTGGCAAACAAAAATGGATCCAGTCCTCTGCTTTGCCTCCAACTTCCCCTGTGGATTTGGTGATGGCAAGCCAGGTGATCTCCCTCTTTCTATTTTGCAAAGTAAGGAATACAGCCTCTCAGTGTGTAGAAGACTAGCCCTCTGTAATGGCTAGGCACTTTGCCACCCTTAACTTATCCTCAGCAACATCCCCATTGAGCAGAGAACTGGTTTTTCAAAAGCACAGGAAGGCTTTGTGACTCACAGAAAATCATGCAGCAGATCAGGGGACTGAATCCAGGCACCAAAAGAAAATCACATACAGCAGGAGTCTAGCCCCTGTACCATTTCTTCCCCAGAGTTTCCTCATTTGTTCTGTTTTGAACTGTTGTAGGAGTTGGGTATGCCTGACAGTAACACTGTGGACAGAAAATCCCCTTAAATTGTCTGAGGAACAAAATCCACTCCCTTGAGAGCATGATAGTTCACAGATAAAGCTGTGTTTTAAAGGGCATTTATCCAAAGAGTTTTATTTAAGTATTTTATTATTTCAAAGCCTTAGAGGAGATTAGGGCAAATTAAGGGCTCAAGGATATTCAAGCAACCTGGAAAAACAGAGGATGAAGACAAAACCACTTGAATGGCTTATTGGTTAGCCAAACCTCACTGGAGAATTTGGATTGTACATTTAAACAATTTCCACCAACCTAGTGTAACTGAAGGATTTAAGAGCAGAGAGGACAAAAAGGCAAGCAATTTTAAGGAAAGAGAGCATGAAAGAGAGACTAGCAAATGTACTTAGAAAAAAAACATACAGAAAGTTTGTGATTGACATTTGGAAAACACTTCATTGTCATCTTTACTACAGCAGTATAAGATGGTACAAATCAAAATCAGTATTGCTTACTCATATAGCCAAAGGAATTGATGAACACATCAAAAACTAATGCTGAAACAAGAAAGGGCTATGGAATTTCTCATAAGAAAAGAAAAACAAGCAGTCAGTGACAGAAAAGCTGGGATCACACTGGTTCAATTCTTAGAGCTCTACTTTCCTGTGAAAATAGTACTTTTGATTAAAATAGGACAGTTTAGAGAGAGAGAAAAATGGTTCAATACAGACCAGAAAGTGACTCACTCTCAGTACTGATTCATCTATTTCTGCCTTTGAATTCATTTAACAAATGTGTTATTGTACAAACATGTGATTCACTGAAAGACAAGCTTAAAGCAGCATTTCTGTTGAATGCTGTTAATGACTGAAATTAGGCCAACAACAGTCAACCAACTTGAGATGGAATTGTTTTGAACAACCAGCATAAAGTGGACAATTATGGTTAAACACTATTAAAAAGCAAAACACTTTTAACTGAGAGGTTAAAATGTCTTGCCCTAATGTCACAGAAACCAGCCTAGTCATGTTTCAAAAAATTGGTTTAAACTAAAAATTATTCCACAGATTCCAGACTCAGCTGGAATCGCAGTAACTTCTCCTTTACATTTCAGCATCATTCATTTCAGCCTTTCCAAAGCACTATATTTGACAAGACCCAGCTTCCAATGGACTTAATACTCTCTACTAGGCACTGATTTAAATTCTTATGTAGTATTTCTGAGAAGAAAGAATTATAATGGGGCTATAGCAGAGAAATGTTTGATTTTAGGTTTACCTCATGAATAAAAGCTAATCACAAAAGTCACTAGATCCACCCAGTTGACAGGTATAACCATTCCTGAAATATTATTTATTGTCATATATTTCTGGCATTATGGAATTCCAGTGTTTTCCTTCATTGTCTCACACTTCAAAGAATCTTAATACTGGATGAAATGTATCACTGATGGTCCCAGTGATATTTCATCTCTCTGTTACTTAGTTAGTTCAGAGTATGAAGCAGTAGACACATGAAACCTTGCTTAAAAACTGGAGGAAAACGTTTCTACTCTGGTTTTTGCTGTTTTCTGCTCTGATTTATCTTTCACCTTTGTTTTTGTCACTGGTGCCACATCTAGGCTTTGGACAGTCAGGATGCTTATTTCTCCAACCACAAGCAATGTGTTGCAGCCAATGAGAACGTTTTTCCAGTATCTTAAGAGTAGGAAATTGATGGTTTCCTTACTGTGCTATTAAACTATTTATTAAAATGTATGTGTATAACCTTGCTCACTGTTATGGTGCAACACATAATCTTTACCTTATACTGTTCACTCTTATGCAGGGATCCAGTGTCATTCCTCTGGTCTACATCCTGCAGCTACATCATTGCAAGGGCAGAAAAGGTCTTCACATAAAACTGAGTCACATGCACACCTTCGCCTTTCTGGTGCACAGATCTGTGACCCCACCCACCCTCTAAAGTTCAGAGAAACACTCCATGCTTCTAAGCAAATGACAGAGTATAAGGTGAGAAAAATGGTGCTTGGCTAGAGAGCCAACAACTGGATACACCTGCAAGCTGAACTGCCAGCCCAAGAAAGCAGAAGAGACAAGAGCAGTGTTACAGACTGGCCACGGGGAGCACCAGCAGCTCTCTGTATTGGAAGAAAAGCTGACAACAGATACACTTAGGCTGAGGTGTAAAGATTAATTATTGAATCTGGCTCAAAGCCTCTTAAACAGTAATGGAAAATCACTACTCTACATTTCGTAATATAGTGCACAGCTATAGATTTTGTCTTTGGTTTGATGCCACTGTTTGATTAATCTGAGCAAGGCAGGATTGTTTTCCCCTTTTTTTTTGTTTTTTCCTTAAATTTGGGCCAGCTTTTCTCTAATACTTGCAATCCTGTAGAGACATCCTCAACACACATAGGCTACACATAAAGCATAACTCATAACCATGCTGAACCTATTTTTAATTTGCCCTAATATAAGTTTTCTCAATAAACGTGAAGACCAGGAAACCACTTCTTCTGTCTGTGGATAGAAGACTTCATTCTTTTCTGCAACACCAGCTTGGAGTCTGTGGACTATGAAAAAGACAGACATTAAATTCCATGGATTTGGATAGTTCATCAGAGGTTTTTAACTAATCTTTCTGCAATCTACAGATTCCTTCAATTTTGACTGGACCTACATTCCCTCCACTGACACTAGGTATTTAAGCACATTCACAACAGGTTTTTATTTTATCACTTTTTGTGGACCCCTTAAAACTGATATACAGACTTTCCCTTTGACCAAGTGAATGCTACTATCAGAATCTAAAATACAGTTCAAGATTGCTCATAAAACAAGTGAATGCTACTTT